ATGCATCTTGGACTTGGCGTCTGTGCAACATACTCCCCCACAGCACAGGGCGTGCTCCTCCCACTGGGAGAATCCGCAATGTGATGATAGCAGGGCAGTGGGAAGGACTGTTCGCCTTCCATGGTGTCCGGGGTCGTTTCGGCATCACTCCAACTGTCGAGTTCGGAGTCCATGGAAACTTCGGAGGAATTCGGAGACCCTTCCGAGGCCTTGCCACTCTTGGTCTCATGCTCTGTTTGCTCAGCTGTATGGCGCCTAGAGTAGCCCTCGTAAAGGACGGAGTCGGAGTTTGCACGCATCAGGAAGCTTGAACATCCGTCTGAATCAGAAGCATCATCAACGACTTCTATGAATGTGTTTCGCAGCATCCATCGTGGACTGGACTGCTGCTGAACGGACTCCATCGCGCGAGGCACGATGTAAAAGACAACCGGTTGGCAACTCAGACAGCTACCCTTTGAGCTAGAGTTTTTTTTTGCGAACATCCGGAATCGCTCTGATTTGACCTCACGCCCCAGTGGTCTGGTTGCCCGGCTCAGCAGACTCAGGTCCCTGCCTGGGTTTTGCCCAAGGCTTCCTGCGCCAAGCCACGCCGAAAAAAAGCCTGGCAAAACAAGAGAATGAAAATGAAGGGGGGAGAGAGAGAGAGAGAGAGAGAGAGAGAGAGAGCGAGAAAGAGCGAGAGCGAGAGCGAGCAGCCGCCAAAGTCGGCCTTGGCATTTTCCTGGTCCACTTTCAACGCTCGTGTGGCGTGATGCACGGTGGCCTCGTGCGCCTGCAGACCGAGGCAGCCGGAGCTTGAGCCTAGCAGCCTAGCATTCTTTGAAGGAATGGGCCTTGAGCTGCAAACAAGTCTGTGCCAAGTTCAGGTGAAGGCCTTGCTGAGATACCGAGAATCAGAAGATCTCATTCAGATTGAGCTCCAGGCTCATACAGTGCCGCGCCATACTGCCATGGCATGCTTCTGGTAGGAGTTCCAGCGCCTGCGTCGGGCATCGAAGAAGAAGCAAGCATGGGGCACAGCGGAACGCCGCAGACGTGAGACTAAAGGCTAAAGGTGTATCAGCCAAGTCAGCCGAAGCATCTGCCTCCATCGCGAAAGCAGGTGGAACAGAAGCGATCCACATGAGGAATGAGCTGCACCGCTCAAGACCCCCAGATCTGAAGAAATAGCTGTTTGAGAAAGGGGGTCTAAGTCAGTGGCTCTCTTAATGCCCAGTAGCTGGGCTGGGCCTTTCCAGTCTCCACCTTCGGTATAGACGGGCCTGGCTATGTACAGAGGCATGCAACAAGCAGCACAGTTCCAGAGAAGTCCTCTGGAAGTGTACTGCTCTCGGATTTCCGACCGAAGCTGAGATTTCCGAATGTCGGCCCGGCCCTTCATGGATCATGTTACAAAGGTAAACGAGTGCAAATGCTCAGCATGAAGGTGTCCAAGCTAGGCATCCTGTGCATTCTCCAACAGCCGAGGCCGACATGCGCTGAAGTCTTGCCAGAACAAGCCTAGGTGAATCGTACGACATAGGCGCATTGCTTTGTACTGGACGCATCTGCATAGGGATTCTTCTCAAGACTTGAGAAAGATGAGCTTGAAGCGGTGGTGAGGAAACCTGTCCTGTCGCACGTCTTTGGTGCGGCCAAAACCGTTGAGCGCTCATCCGGCGGGAATGCCAAAGAAGCACGCGAGTTACGTCTGAAACTCGCACGTAGACTCTACAGTAGAGTCAGTAGAGCTTAGAGACGGCAGGCGACTGCAGCAAAGCATCGACGTGATGTTGTGAGTCTTCCCATGGACCTTGGTGCAATAACTCCCGGTGCATCTTGTGTCACTTAGCTTTGACGTCGAAAGGGCAGCACATGGCTGCAGTAGAAAAGGGCGAGTGGCACCCAGGAGCCTTCTCGAGGACTGAAGCATTCGGCTACCTGAGCGCAGGCTCCGCGAACCCAAAGAGGATTGCGGAGTCCGCTGAGGACGCCACCACGGAACTCGCCTCGTTGCCGCCGAAGATGTACAGTTTGCTTGCACAACCTTAACCATCTGAACCCCAAGCCCGCGAAATCTCAGAAGGAAAGCAGCTGCAGGGCCCCGGCTTGCCGAGCTGAGCATGCCCCGGACGAGATCCAAGCTAGGCAACGTCTGGCGACAGTGGCTGCGCCCGCAAGAAGGATTCCAAGCAGGGGGGGCTTTTGCCAACGAGTAAAACGACCACTGTTCTCTGCAGAGATGGGGACACTCGGCAGCCTCCAGTAGCTTCGAGCCTTGAGCTGGACTTTGTGAATCTCAACTCTGGACGCAGGACGGACTTGAAGCTTCTGGGCACTGAGCTCTTGTGGCTTCGAGCATCGCCTTGCCGATGCTGTGCTGCCCTTGAGGCCCAAAATTTCCTAAAGCTACCATCTGCAGCTGGCGCACGAAACCTCCTCGAACACTTGCCTTTAGGTGAAACCGGGGGCAGGGAAGCCTGCAACCAAGCTTCTTCAAATTGTGAAGCTTGAGGCTGTGAGACCTGCTTGCCCCTTCTTGCCCCTTCACATACCGGACCCGTCTTCGGGAGAGTGTCCTGTAGAGATGAAACAACTCGCTCCAGGTTGTGTTGCCAGGTGGGCCCTGGGAGTGGGTCGCGCATCTTTCACAGCAGGCTGAGCCCGGCTCGCAGTCACAGTCGGTTTATGACCAGATGATCTGGAGGTTGTCTCCAACCACAGCTGTGCTACAGAAGGCATGGCTCAGGTTGACATTCGGCCTTGCACTGCGACAATGTATTGAATTATTATCATCAAGAGTCGCCCGTAGTTCGATGACGTTCCGAGGAAAGACGACTTGATCTGAGCCAGCTTCTGCAGATGCTACAGCTGTCGATGTTTTTGTTAATGTACATTGACAATCACGTCAGCTCAGGTTCACCGACTCGGTCGAGTTGGCCTGGAGCCTAGCGGCATTAGCTCGATCTGCTGTGCATGACGCACAGTGATGTCCTTCACTTTCTTTGCAAACTTGTCCGTCCGAGTCTTCATGCCGCTGTCTTGGAAGAACAAGAAGACAGCAAATGACTCGGCCAAAACCAGCGGCACACCTGCGACATATCGATTTGCATGCGAGCAGCTGCCTGGACAGTTACTGACATGCCGACAAGTGACAGAACCAGCCCCCCTTCCTCAACAGCCGCCCAATTTGGATGAAGACCTCGGAGCAAACATACAGAGTTGGAGCCTGAACGGATGAAATCAAGTGTCATGTCATTGTTCCATGTACACACCGACATCCCAAGCAACCCTCACGAGCCAGCAGAAGTGCTTTAAACATGCGTGGAACTGCCCAAACTCCCAGATCTTCAACTTGACAAGTGTTTTACAGGGACTGAGACGCGAATAGTTCTATTCACAGATGAGAAAGCAGTGCAGTGCCAAGAAGCCAATCCACAAGCAACAGATTGAAGGGCGAAGCCCCGCCAAGCGGCCCAATGAAGGGTGCAGTTTGTCAAAGCGAAAACTGCAGTGATGGCACCTGGGACTTCTTGTCACGGGGGAGCCCAGGGCACATGGGTGTGAAAAGTGTCGACAAATCTGTGCAAACGCTCAGAATTTCTAGATCTTAGTTGAGATCCTCAGTTTTGTCTGCCAGCGCACACTTGTTGAATCGCTTCGTATGCGACATCGCTCGCATGATGGCCATCAGAATTCCCTGCGCAACACCACCACTCACGTCACGAGACCCAAGCCTTCCATGGTGCCAACAACACATCCCATGTGTCGCATAGACTTATGATGCAGCTGGGGTTCAAACATCAGAGGAAAGATGATAAACATGATGTGCAGGCCTTAGCATGTCGAAACCAAGGTGCGTAAGGCTACACCGTCGGAGCATGCAAAAGCGCATCCGTCACATCTCGATCGGCAACTTTGAAGCTTTCACGCAATCATCTTCTGACCAGGCACACTGAAAGATTCTCGCCGCAGCGCCATCCCGCTTCTGTGAGTTGCTCTCAAGCTGCCCAGGGGTAACAGTGCGACAAGCTGTTGGTATTTTCACTCTTGTTCTACTCCCTCTCCTACTCCTACTATTTTTCTGCTGCTGCTGCTGCTGCTGCTGCTGCTGCTGCTGCTACTGCTACGACTGCTAC